ATCCTATTAAACTGCGTCTGCATCCTATTAAACTGCGTCTGCATCCTATTAAACTGCGTCTGTATCCTATTAAACTGCGTCTGTATCCTATTAAACTGCGTCTGTATCCTATTAAACTGCGTCTGCATCCTATTAAACTGCGTCTGCATTCTATTAAACTGCGTCTGTATCCTATTAAACTGCGTCTGCATCCTATTAAACTGCGTCTGCATTCTATTAAACTGCGTCTGTATCCTATTAAACTGCGTCTGCATTCTATTAAACTGCGTCTGCATCCTATTAAACTGCGTCTGCATTCTATTAAACTACTAAATGAACTGAAGAATAGAAGAAGAATGGATCATAAAACTCACGGATCAGATTAGCACAAAATTAAAAAGGATACTAATTATTGATCATTAATGATCATTATTCAGAGATACAGATCTCTTTGATGTTTGGTTACATCAGCTGGTCTACAAGGATCCACAATATTTATTATAAAAATCATTTTAACGCTCTGAAGTCAGTAAACCATCAAAAATAATAAATGTTATACTTTTACTTTATTATTTTAATTTATTGTTTTTTTCTTCATAAAAACACAAAATTTAAATGATTAGGAAATAAAAGATTATATTTGTATCATCATTATTACCACAGTGGTGGAATGAACTGACGTCAGGACAGCAGAGTCGCTGCCCGTCTTTCATCAGGCTGAAAACTCAAGAAGTACTACCTGAGCCTTCCCTCACCACTTACTGTATTCATACTAGTTTGTTTCTGTACGTCTGCTCTGGTTTATGCTCTCAGACGCTTGTTTAGAGGAGATGCACTTATGACTTCTGGTGACTAGTAGTTCTCTTGAATACTTATGTTGAATACACTTATTGTAAGTCGCTTTGGATAAAAGCGTCTGCTAAATGACTGTAATGTAATGTAATCATTAATGAAGTATAATAATGTTCTTAGAGCTCGTGTTAGAAGTTAAACAGCTCATAATTCATCTCTAATATCTATTTTATATTCATGTGAAAACATCTTCAAACTACTGGTTTTATTCAAGTTTATCACCAAAACTACATTTTACAGATGACATGTGAACACATCATGATAACGTTATAATGTACCTTCATCAGCCAGTACTCATGTTCACTGAGCAGAGCCTGAAGGCATCATAATGTAACTGAAGTGAACCCCCTGTTGGTTAGCCGTTAGCGGTGCTGCTAACGTTACTAGCTCTCCTCCTGTTGGTTAGCCGTTAGCGGTGCCGCTAACGTTACTAGCTCTCCTCCTGTTGGTTAGCCGTTAGCGGTGCTGCTAACGTTACCAGCTGTTTAATGTTACACAAAAGTGTTTAAATGATTTTAATAAGAACATTGTTTTAGTCACATACGTTAATATGAAAGTGACACAAATTTACCTTATTTCTACCGACTTGTTTGCCTTTTAAAGTTGATGAAGATCACAAAACAGATATTGTTATTCTAAACTTTAGTTTGAAAGTTAAAACAAGTAACCAAGTTGTTTTGTGCAGTAGAAGTCACAGCCAGAATGGACCAAACTGCACCAGAACTAATGATTGTCTTTATTAATAACCCACTGATGTCTGTTTCTTCCCTTCAGACTAATTCAAGATGGTAAAGACGTCGGCAGACAAGGAGACATGAAGAAAGCGCTGAAGTTCTTCAAACTGGCGAACGACATCCGGCAGAGCGAGAAGCTTGAAAGCAGGATAAAGAAGATCGAGGACCATCTTTCTCAGGACGAGTCGGAGGAAGAAGACGACGACTTTGTCGACGTTAACGGCAGCGGGTTGATGCTTTTCAAAGAGTTGTACGACAAGCTTTACGACTACCAGAGGGACGGAGTGGCCTTCCTGTACGGTCTGCACAGAGACGGGCGTAAAGGGGGGATCCTGGCGGACGACATGGGCCTCGGTAAAACCATCCAGGTGATCTCGTTCCTCTCCGGGATGTACGACAACGAGCTGGCGAAGCACACTCTGCTGGTCATGCCCACGTCACTCATCACCAACTGGACCAAGGAGTTCGCCAAGTGGGCTCCCGGCATGAGGGTCAAGGAGTTTCACGGCACCGGCAAAGTGAGGACCGGGAATCTGGAGAAGGTCCAGAGGAGGAGCGGCGTCGTCATCACCACGTACACTATGATCATGAATAACTGGCAGCAGTTGTCGTCGTACAACGGCAGAGAGTTCACGTGGGACTACGTGATCCTGGATGAGGCGCACAAGATAAAGAACACGTCCACCAAATCGGCCAAAAGTGCCTACGCCATACCGTCGAAAAACCGCGTTCTTCTCACCGGCACGCCGGTCCAGAACAACCTGAAGGAAATGTGGGCTCTCTTTGACTTTGCGTGCCACGGCACTCTCCTGGGGACAGCTAAAACATTTAAAACCGAGTACGAGAACCCCATCACCCGGGCCAGAGAGAAGGACGCCACTCCAGGGGAAAAGGCTCTCGGGTCTCGGATGTCCGAGAACCTCATGGCCATAATACAACCCTACTTCCTCCGCAGGACAAAAGCAGAAGTGCAGAAGAACAAAATAGACCGGGAACAACAGGAAGGCAAAGACAGCCGAGTCCCAAAACCTCCGAAAGACTCCGGAGCCGTCATGCCGACGCTGAAGAGGAAGAACGACCTGATTGTCTGGACTTACCTGAGCGCCGTCCAGGAGGACATCTACAGGCAGTTCATCTCTCTGGACCACATCAAGGAGCTGCTCATGACGACCAGATCGCCTCTGGCCGAACTCAACATCATGAAAAAGTTGTGCGACCACCCGAGACTGTTCTCTGCTGCAGCCATAGCTAAGCTGGGCTTGGAGGAAAGTAGAGCTGAAGGTCAGCAGAACGGCAACGTGGAGGTGGACCCAGGAAGCATCGCCAACGTCCCCGACGACACCTTGATATCAGAGTCCGGGAAACTGGTCTTTCTGTTCGCTCTTCTCGAGAGGCTCAGAGAAGAAGGCCACCGAACGCTGGTCTTCGCTCATTACAGGAAGGTGCTCGACATCATCGAACGCATCCTGGGCAACCGAGGCTTCAAGGTGATGAGGCTGGACGGGACGATTACTCAGATCGCAGAGCGAGAGCGGCTCATCACTCGCTTCCAGAAGGACCGAAGCTACTCCGTCTTCCTCCTCACCACCCAGGTCGGAGGAGTCGGTATCACTTTGACGGCAGCCGATCGAGTTGTGATCTACGATCCCAGCTGGAACCCGGCGACGGACGCCCAGGCTGTGGACAGGGCGTACCGCATCGGACAGACTGAAAACGTGGTCATCTACAGGCTGATCACCTGCGGCACGGTGGAGGAGAAGATCTACAGACGGCAGGTCTTCAAGGACTCCCTCATCCAGCAGAGCACTGGGGACAAGAAGAACCCGTTTCGTTACTTCAGCAGGCAAGACTTGAAGGAGCTCTTCATCCTGGAGGACACACGGTCTTCGTCTACGCAGCTGCAGCTCCAAGAGCTGCACTCCAGACACCGGCGGACGGACCCCGAACTGGACGAGCACATCGCCCACCTCCACGCCATGGAGATGTTTGGGATCTCCGATCACGACCTCATGTTCTCCCTCGACGTCAACCACGACGACGAGGCGCCGGAGGACCAGGAGGCGCACCACTACATCGAGGGGCGGGTCCAGAAGGCCCAGGACCTGATGAAGGCTGAGTCGGAGCTGCAGATGCAGCTGGCGGAGAGCATGGCGTCCAGCACAGAGCCGGCCTGGCTCAGACAACCAGAGTCCAACAACAACAGGGAGCAGTCTCACAAGAAAAAGAATCCAAGACCAAGTCCGTCCTTTCCACAGCCCGACCGCAAATTCAATGAGTCACCCATTGTTGTGGAGTTGGACCAGTCTGGTTCTGACAAGGAGTGCGTCCAACAGAATGGTAGCCCGGTTATTGATCTCACCGTAGATGAGAGTATGTCCGAAGAACAACCCGTTGTTCTAGAAGGAAGCCGAGACGAGCTTCCAGACCAGAACCTGTATTCCCCGAAACCCCCGTCCGTCAAGCGTGAGAGGAGCTCCATAGAAGAGGAGGAGGACGCCTCCCCTCAGGAGGTGATTGAGGACTCTTTGGTAATGTCTGAGCCGTACGTCACAGCCGGTGATGAAGACTTCGCTCCTCTGCAGAACAAAAGACTTTCAGTCCTGAAGCTGGATTTGGATCCTAAGATGGAGTCCAGAGTCAGCTCAGGACTGGAATCCTTTGAGGGCAACTTCAACTTACAGCTTGAAGAAAGTGACTTATCGGACCGGGAAGTTCTGGATCATCAAGAGACCGAAGAGGAGGAGAGGAAGCTGCTGTCACAGCTGCAGATGGAGGGCAGTTTTGACGTTTATAAATCCCTTTCTGATAGTCAACATAAAGAAAAACTCAGTCTCAGTAAGGCCTCTGAGATGGACCAGTCCATGGACGACTCCATTGTGGCCACCAAGAAGAAGAGAGCAGCGGTGATTTATGAAAGTGAAGACGAGGACAGCGATCGGGGTCAGCACAACAACTCCTTCAAGATTCTCGGAGCCTCCACGCCTAAATCAGGCCCCGCCCCTCTCCGGTCGAGAAAGAGCGTTGGAGGAAACGCCTCCGTGGCCTCACGCCGGTCCTTCATCATGTCCATGATTGAAGACACCGACATGACTGATGAAGAAGAAGACGATGAGGTTTCAGGGAGGCAGCCGGACGAAGAGGAAATCATTTGTTCAACTCGTGATGAGCTTCAGCTGGAGGATACGGTGGGAGAGACATTAAACTCAGAGGAAGAGGAGGAGTCTGGACAGGAAGTGAGCAATAGCATGGAGGAGGAAGAGGAGTCTGGACAGGAAGTAAGCAATAACAAGGAGGAGGAGTCTGGACAGGAAGTGAGCAATAGCATGGAGGAGGAAGAGGAGTCTGGACAGGAAGTGAGCAATAGCATGGAGGAGGAAGAGGAGTCTGGACAGGAAGTAAGCAATAACATGGAGGAGTCTGGACAGGAAGTGAGCAATACCATGGAGGAGGAAGAGGAGGAGTCACAGGAAGTGAGCAATAAGGTTGAGGAGGAATCCTTCATCTCGCTGGTGAGAAGAGGAAAGGAGAGGAGCTGTGAAGGGAAGCTGGACGAGGCGTTGAACTTGTTCCTGAGAGCCATCGACATGAAACCTGGAGACCCTGAAGTCCAGCTGATGACCATCCAGCTGTACCGGCAGCTGAGTCAGAGAAGCTAACCAGAAGTCTGTTGGTGATTTAGATTTGCACATTTGTTAAATTAATGAAGTAACTGTACAGAGAGAACGTGGGGAGGAGATATTAAAGATGTTTATGTTGCATGGAATCTGTGTTAAATTTTTTATTTTATCATGATGATGAAACGGTGATGGGTTTCTTCTTATCTGTTGATTTAAAAAAATAAACTTGTACTGTAAACAAGTTTAAATACAATTGTTCTAGTAATTTTTGTATAAATCTACATTTCATTTGATGTCTTTGGGTTGGGACCAACATGCAGAAGATTTCTAAATATATATCTTCATTATTCCTGAAACACCTTTTTAAATTATTCAATAATTAAGTCACGATATAGATTTTAAAGGAAAAATATTTATTTTGTAACATGTTCTTGTTTTATTTATTGTATCTTGCTGAAAAAGTTCAAATATAATTTTAAATATATAATATATTTCTGTTTTGAGTCCTAGTTTTCTAAATTGATCATTGTTACTGCAGATAAAAATAATTTACATCTTCAATTAATCTGCAGGTTAATTTTTAGTCTTATATAAATTATTTTGTTTCTAAAATATCAAATAAATTTCCTTCAAGATTCCCCAAAATAAACGACATCTTCAACAGTAAAACAAAGATATTCAGCTGTTAAATATAATCTCATGTCAAGTTTTACATATTTTAATATTCATCAGATTGTCTCTTTGAATATATGTGGTGTCGTTTTAAATCATATAAACTCATATTTTAAGAAGTTAAAGTTTAGATAATCTTTATTGGGATTCATTTTCAGCCAATCAGCGATGATTTACAGACTCTTGTCTCTCATTGGCTGAGGGTACGTTTGAATAATGTGTCGGGACCTCCCGGTGGAGTTTGGGTGATGGTCGAACTTTGAACATCATCAAATTATAGTAAAGTTATAAAGTGAATGAGGAGCGCTCGGTTCGCTCCTCTGTACAGCCCGATGTAGAGAGCGCATGCGCGGTTGGAGCTTTTTCTTTTTTCCTAGCTGGAGATTAGTTTTGTGACGTCAGCAGAAACTAACTAGCCAATGACTTCTGGCTTCACTTGTGAGACTTCAAAATAAAAGCTCTGGAGTTTTGACGGTACAAAAATAACAAACAATGTCGAGTAACTTTGTTAAGGATACATTAATATCATTTCTTTGTTTTTTCATTTGTGGAAGATTAGAGTCTGTTTTTGAAATTGTGTTTATTAGTTTTCAGATTTACAAATAAGTTCAATGGAATTAATATTTTCTGTTTCACAAAAGAGTGAAATAGAGTGTTTAGAAATAAATGACAGCACGATACGAATACAATAGTAAATAAATGATAAAAGGGGAAGAAAATGTATTTATTTATCAACATATACTAATATTACAGGCTGATAGATGCAGATATTAAGTGTATCATTAACCTTTGTGTTTGTGGAATTAGATAATAATATCACATAGTGCTCAACACCCCAGAGGAAACAAACAAGGTTTTATATTAGTGAATTTACATTAATAAATACATTTAAAAAACATAATTATCAAATTAATTATAAAATTGTCTTTTTGGAGTTTTTGAATAAACCAAACACCATATTTTCCCTCAACAAAATAAAGTTTTTAAAGATATAATATAATAACTTTATTTATTATTTGCAGATTTTTCATATGATCACTGAAAAATCTTCGATGGTCTTTCTAGAGTTTCTTAGCGTGCTAACAATGCCAAATATGTGCAAACTGTTTCTGATTATTTATCACAGAAATACTTACTGTCATTCCAACTTTACAGTTAACTTGAGTTTTCAATGACAGGTACTCTTATTTTGAAGGGCGTCCAGGAAGCAGGGGGGGTTTCCGCTAGCTTGTTTTTTAGCTTCCTAAAATATGTGCTTCACTCGGTGAGGACACACTACCGGAACACGACTGTCGGGTTCAACAGAGGAAACATTCACTCTCACAGTTTGTGTTTCATAACTGAAACATTTAATTTAATAACTGAAACATCCGCGAGGAGACATTTTGGATTCCGACTGTTAGCTTAAAACGGCTACATTTAAACCCCGCTGGCTGCTGGGACATTAATGCTAAAAACCACTCCGGGGTGTTTAGCATGAGGCTCTTTGGGGGGAGACGGCGGGAAGACAACAGTAAAAACTACAATAAATATTATAATAACTATATCAAGACACAGACGAGGACGGACTGTGTGAGAGCTGACCTGTGACATTTAAAAAAGAAAGAGAAGAAGAAGAAGATGATGGGAGGGAAAGTGGAGCTGCTGGAGGCTTTCTTCTTCTGTCTGCTGCTGAGCGGAAACTCACACTGTAGAGGTGAGTGAGGAGGAGGAGGAAGAGGAGACAGTGAGGAGGAAGAGTACGGTGAGGATGAGGAGGAAAGTGAGGATGAGTACAGTGTGGATGAAGAGGAGTCCAGTGAGGAGGATGAGGAGTACTATATTTTAATGTACTCCACTGTACTACTGCAGTGAAAAGTACAACCCTGTACTACACTGCAGTAGTAGTAGTACGACATAATGTGCTGTACTACAGTCTACTGTACTGTACTGTACACTACTCTATTGTACTACACTGTACAGTACACAGTCATCACCCTCCAGGTCAAAGCTTCATGTGTTAAAGCTGCATTCTCTCTAGTGTCCACC